GGAAAATTCAGAAATTTACAATTTAAAAAAAAATATTCTCAATAGTACAATACATTAAATTAATTATTATTATTGTTGTTTATTCTACTCAAGTCATACATGAAAAAAATTACAATAAATAAAATAAATATTTGATACGTCTGAATCTTTCACACTTTCGCGCAAAGGCCAGCGCATCAAAATTCATCGCGTGGCCTCTCTGTGTGCGGAAATATCCATCCGGCGTCGGCGGGTGAGAAAAAAGAAAAGTACTTCTTGCGGCGGCGTCAATTTTGCGTCAAAAAGTGGTCGTTGAAGGCGCAGGCAAGCAAGCTGAATGAACGCAAGCCGGCCGCGCAGAAATCACGTTTGGGCCCGCAGACGATATATCACGTCGTCAAAGGCAAAAAGCATGGCCCACCCACCCACCCAACACCCCAGACATGCACGACTCGCTAGCTCACTTTGCCAGGCCTAAATAAATGTATGCACAGAGACTTTGCGAGGCGCCAGTGGAAATAATGCAAAAGCAGCAGAGTGGATCTGTCTGACAATTTGCACAATTTTTCCCACTCCCGTTTCACGATTTTTGTTCAAAATCCATTTTGGTTGTGAGCTGAAAGTGCTTTTAATTTTATATTTACAATTATTTAGCAATCTAAAAGTTTATTTCGAATTAGATAAATGAATATAATTCATGTTTCATATTGTGAAACGGTTTTTGTTTTAACTAAACAGCAGCTTAACGGAAATATAAAACCAGCTTAAATGGCATTCAAAATTAGAAATATATTTCAATTGTTTATTTAATTTATTCATGGAAGATTTTGAATATTAAAAAAATTTTGATGGAAAAAGGAAGAAAAGACACTGAATGTTCTCGTTTGATTATTATTTTTTTTCTCAAAATCCATGGCATCTTCTCTAGTTAGAGTTGTTTATTAATTTATTTACTGAAATTATCATAATTAACTTATTTCCAAAAAAAGATAATTTAAAATTACTCTCGTAAAAGCTAGTTATGCTAGATAGTATTTTTATACCCGACAATATTATTTAAATTAATAATTTTACAAAATTTTGACATTTTTATAAAGGTAGCTTGTGTTCGCAACCCTGCCAGAAGCAAAACTCTGATACAGCGCTGTGTTCTGCACGTCAAGAGAGGCATGACTTAATTATAAAGTGCTGACGTCGGCTGCAAATTTTTAATAGCCAAAAAGAGGCATTAGTTGCTGCAAACTGGTCTGCGCTGCGCAAGAGAGATCGCGTCAAAAGCTAGGCGGCCCAAGTGCGTGTTTCATTTTAATGTGCACCCCTTTCGTTCCCTCGCGCGCAGAGAGATGGACGCTATTAATTTTTCACGTCGAGATCGAGCTGTTCGCGCACGGAAATCGGGAAAATTTACCTGCTGTGTCGGAGGCAATCGTGCAGGCGTTATTGCTGTGGGAAAACGCGCCAGATGATGATCGTTTTGTTAGAATTTCTCCATCATACTTGAAAAATATCACCTCGAATAAAAAAAATCAATGATAATAAAAAATAAGTATATGTCAAATTAAAATGATAAGTAATTTTTACAGTAAAAGAAGTAAAAATTGCTTAGTTAAAAATATAAAATCTCATTAGAATCTAGTAAATGAGAGTTGAAAGTAATAAAAAATTTCGATTAAGGTCAAAGTCCAGCAGTCTAAGAAAAAGTAAAAAGCACAGATTGCGCTTCGCCAAAACAACGACAACAAATTATTGTTTCTTGTGGATGTGTCTTGGTCTCTCGTTGATTGTCTTTTCTTCCTGGCGCAAATAACCGAGTATTTCTCAAAGTCTGCACAAACGCATTTTTAACTCACATGCGCGCACGTTAGGGAAAAACCGACGAGCACATAAATCAGGCGCACGTACATTTTGCCATTATGAAGAAGGATGCTGGAAATAAACCGCGCCAACCGGCGAAGAAGAATAATAAGACTTTATGTCAGAAAATCGTCTTGCAAATTTTTACGTCCTGAAAAAGTTTTTTATCCGCGCACACATGGAAAACGGGCTAGTGGGAATTCTGGGAGAAATTTTGGTAATTTTCAAAGCAGCCTACGCGGCGCTTATTTATTGGGATTTGGGCTGCGTTTCGCTCTCTTTTACGACTCACGGGCGGATTTGTCGAGGGCGAGCGCGAGTGTATTTTATACCGTGAAGCTACTGTGGGGCATGCGAGCGGTGCGGTTTATGTATTTTATGCTCATAGTACTTTTAGAGCTCGGCGGATTAACTTTTAAGCTGCGCGCATTCGCCACACTTATGCTCCTCCGTTTTCAGGCCTGGAAATTATCATCTCGTCCCGGAAAGGAGAAGAATTTTGACGTTTGCAAAGCATTGGTTTTGTAATCGCAGACGACAAGGAGATCAGCGAAAGAACGCTAAATTTAGCCCTACCAGAATCACAAAGGAGTCAAATTCATCTCTGTGGAGGCAAACTTTGCCAATTAAGTGTAAGCACGCACAAAGACGCAAATAATAATTTGTGCCAGCGCCGAATTCGCGCGCGCCTCGGGATAAAATTTGGCAGCGCCGAGAGAGGTGCCAGTGGCTGGAATAAAACACATTTCTCAGGTGCACGCTGCGGTAATAACTTGCCCAAGTTTGTGGCTGCGGATTTAATATTTAAGATTTGCTGCTGCCCCGAATTTATTCCAAAAGGGTGCCAAGATAAATATTGACCCGGCCCGGAAAACAAGTTGGTGAAAAATTTCGCCCGCGCTGCTTCCGGCGGCCAATACGTTGGGGCCAAATTATGGCACCGCCAATTGGCACATTTACAAGTGCTCGTAAAATTGCGACGCGTCAAGCAGGTGCGAGCACCGACTGCGGCCGTGTGATTGAAAAACTTTTTGCTCCGACTCGCACCGGCCCACGCATTCTCCAGCAAAACGTGCGATCGTCAAATTGTAGACAGAAAACAAACCGAGTCCTTTTCAGACACACATTAAAATTACAATTTTAATTTTCAAGCACTGGCTTTAAGTATTTATTTATGTTAAAATTTCACCGTTTTGTATTTTTAATGATATTTCTTGCCCAATAACACAAAACACAAATTCTATTCACAGATTCACAGTATTTTTAATTTGATTAAAATATAAATCGGGTCAAATTTGAATGTTATGATTTAATATGCGTGATGAAAAAATTAAATTTAACAAAAGATAATAAAATATTTACTTTGTGTATCATAAAACAGCAGATAGTAGTTTTTATTCTTGTCATAAATAATAAAATGGCATATATTATAAATTATTAATCCATCCCATAAAATATTAAAATAGATAAGTATAAAAAAATTGCAAGCCATTCAAAAATATTTAAAATTTCAATCAAAGGCTTTTGATAGCAATAAATACATTTCAAGAATATCATTATAAAAGTAGAATATTTTGAAGAAGAAAATGAATCGATCTTATTGCACGCTTTTCAGCACTTTGAGTTTGGCAAACGAACATTTTCCATCTGACATTTGACATGCTGTTGGGAAATAGGCGAAAAAGTGGATAGAAAATACACTCGCTCCACTCTCTATCTCTGTCGATTGATTGTCGAGTGTCAGAAGCTTCCACAAAATCTCTTCGCTTTTCGCAACCAGATTCTGCTCGCTGAAAGGGGAAGAGTTGGTTGTATATAAAAATATGTGTGCGTGTATCATTATAAAGCCCACTTCAATATTTACGAATCAATCCCTCTACACAGAGCGCCGGGAATATATCTCACCCCAGCATTTATCATTGTCGGTCGCACAAGAGCGATTCCTCTCAACGCAGGAATAACAATATGGCCAGATCCTTTTTCTCGTAGACGCGAAACAATGGAATTGCCAACGCGCGTCTCTCGCGCTTGAAAAAATCTCTGTGTTGAATATAACACCAAAATAGATATTGAAATCTACGACAAAGCATTTATTTTTTTGCACAAAAATTGAAAACACAATCGAATTGCAAAATAGGTCCAAATATTTTTGTTCACTGCTCTTTTTATAAATATCGGTCCAGTTGTTATTTTTGCACAACAAAGAGTTTAATTGTGTACGTTGTTTGAAAATAAATATTCATTTATGTGTATTGATTTTTTCCGATGGGCTGAGCGTATATTTTTAAAAAACGTGACCAAATTAGCCGGGTAAGGTAGTGAGCACGTTGAGAGAAGCTCAATTGAGACTCGTTCTGGTGGGTAACATTAATTGAACCAACCCGGTCGTGGCGATTCACTCGCTTCTTGTTTTTGTGCCCTCGCAACTTGGAGTGGAGCTCTCTAATGGCCGCGCGGCCCATCCGCATTTTTCATTTCGCTATGTGTTGGTGGCCGTGCAAATAAATTGGCGGACGGACCGACCGGCCGAAATGGCATTATGATGAGCCAAAAGCGTGTTTAACGACTCGAAAAGCCAGCCACAGACGACCACGCTGCTGGATAATTATTTTTTAAACGATTTTCATTCACGCACGATAATTCCTGGCCATGTAGGAGTTTTTTACTCGCGCAAGTGTGTGCTCACTTCAATAAATTTGTTTTAAAAGGGTACGCGAGCTACACATGCGAAATTTATTGTAGCGATGTGGACTTGACCAAAACCAACAAATGCAAAATGTTGTTTCCCGTCGAAACTGGTTATAATTCACGTCATACAAAAATGATAATTCCTCCTGAATTAATCATCAGTTTCATTACCGTAATTGTTTCCTGTTTAAAAATCAAACATTTGATCAACATTTTTTAATTATTAATTGACCACCAATAAATAATTTTGATAATAAATATGAACACTATTGAATTGAAGTCGATTAGATTGTGTAAATTTAAATTTATAGCGTTCTTCAAGAACATGATTTTTTTTCTTTCTCTTTTTACATTGGATTTTTTTTAATTTCTAAATTATTCCTATAATGTATCTTGTATCTTAAAATTGAAAAATACTCCAATTAACTAAATATATAAAATTATGAAAGAAAAAATACTATAAATCAACAGATTAAATTTTTAAATTGTTGATTTTATTCTTCCATTTCTATAATAATCAAGAGAATTATTCTTGACTTTTCGTGGCAGAGCCGCACAGGATTTTGCAAAACTCGATGTAGTTGATCATGATACCCTCAGGCTCTTCGTACAAGGGTGCGTCCTCCAACGCGTAATTGACCTTCAATCAAAACCAGAATATAAATATCCGGCTGATTTTGCACTTCTTGCTTGCGGTTTGGCAAATTTTGGGGTTGAAGTGTGTAAATTTATCACAAAGGGTGTTCACGCGGCGAGTGGCCGGGGAGGATATTTATTATTAAGCGAGCTTACCTCTTGTTCGGTGAATATGTCTCCCCATGTCATCAGATCGCGTCTGATACTGGAGAACGCAGCTTTAATGAGGTTTGTTAGGAAGCCGGACAAACGCAACTCACCGCTCCTCAGAAATGAAACCAGATGAGTCTTCGTCCCAACACGATAAGGCCTTCACCAGCAGGTCCTCCGGATCCAGTTCCGCCGACTTTTTCCCCATTAGCTCGATAAATGCGTCAATGTCCAGAGGTGAAGAAGCCTAAAATAATCGCACGATGCGTGAAAAATGGAATAATTTAATAGTATTTTTCTTTTTTCACTAAAAATCCAGTAAACTGCTCAATAAAATTAACAAATTATTTAAAATTAAGAAAAATTAAAAAAAAGATTTTGTTTAAAAGAGAGTATGATCAAAAAATACGTCAAGATATATATATATATTAATTTAAAAATACATTTATTGTTTATGACTTTCAATTATAAAAATTACAAAATAAAAATTTAATAAGAATAAAATTAAAAAAAAAATTATTTCTAATTAAAATACTAAGCATTGTTTAAAGATATTCATTTTGTTTCTAAATTTTAAATCTTTATATAACAAGTAAAAAGTTTTATGTATAGTAAAGATGTTTTTTTATTCATAAAATAAATATCTAGTTCGTTGTCAGTTTGTTTAATGGTATGTATATTTAAATCTAGAAACTAATGGGAGCAGATTTCTCTCGGCTTATCGAAGCAGCCGCGCTAATTTAATTAAATTTTGGCAGGCACCGACCTCGCTGAGCATTCCGTCGATTTGCTCGTCGGGAACATCGGGGAAGCCGAGTGAGGCGAAAGTCATCTGCAAATCGACCTTGTCGATCTGCCCATCTTTGTTCCAGTCGAGCAAGAAGAAGCCCTGCAAATGATTATTAAATCGTCGCCGCTAAATTTAGAACTGGCGACAGCATCTTTTGGATGGAAAGTGCTGAGGTTCAAAGCAGCGTTTTGCTCAAAGCCGTTTAAATTTACCTCCGCCAACTCTCTCAGTTTATTTTCTTGAGCATTGGCGAACTCCTCTTCGGCAATTTGTTTCGCGGTTGGTTTCGCCACTGCAACTGCAGGCTTTTCTTCTTCGTCGGCCTCTTTTTTCACAGATTTTTTCCTTGCCGGCGCGGGGGCTTCAGCTGGCGCTTCCTCCTGCGCTGCACTTTCCGCACTTTCCAGCACCTCCCCTCCGTTTTCCTTTGGGCAAATCAAGTCAGAAAGTTTGAGGTGATAAATTGCCGAGGCAGATATTAGGGATGCAAAATTTTTGTCAAACCTGTGCACCCCCTTGCTGCTCTTCGGGCTGAGATTCTTCCGCCGGCACGGGTTCGCCACCGTCGGTCGCAGGATTTTCTTCTTGGGGCGGCTCGCTTTCCTTTGAAGTGGCTGATTCGGCAGCAACTTCTGCTGGTTTAGCCTCGTCAACCAAAGGGGTGGACTCGCCGTTTAATTGAGGTGCCTCTTCGGTGGCCGACTTGTTGCTCTTAACGCTGCTGCTCTTCTTTTTCTTCTACAGTGCAACCATTGAAGTAACTCAGCAATAGTTTTTCAAATTAAAAACAAAAAAAATCTAGTAAAAAAAACACTGCGTTTGCAATGAAATGAAAAATAATTGCTTTAGCGAGTAACAATAATAACAATGATAAAATTATTCCAAGAAATTTAATTCAATAGAAGAATAAATTGTTAGAAATCTTTGCAGTTTCATGTATGTATAAAAAAAAATGCAATTGCAATTAAATGAAAACCGATAAATTCTGCAAGCACAATAAACAATATTATTTCCTTTCCGAGAAATGGAATAAAATGTCAAAAAATATTAGATCTAGAAATATTTATCAAATGGTAGAAATGGTGCATACGTAGCAAATATTTGATATCAAGAGCAAATAAGAAAAACATTGGGAAAAAGAAAAAGAATGAAATAAAAGAACAACGCGTGACCTCTAGCATTTCCGTGAATTTGAAACTTCAACAAAAGTCTGACCTTTTCCTTGGGTGGAGGCGGTTGTTCCTCGACAGCAGCGTCCGCCATGGTGCTCGACTCAAGACCAAGTGAAACCGCCGCTGGAGATGAGCTGCCTGCTCTTTTCTCTCTCTCTCTCGCTGAATGTGTCCACTCTTTCGAGGGATGAGCCGAGTGAGTGTGTGATAATTATCTGGAATAATATTCAGCTGCTGAATCATATATTTTTAGAGTCTGCTGCGGCTAATGAGTCGAAATCTGAGCGGCCGCGAGCGAGCCCAAGTGGTGGGACACGCCGCCGTCGGCTCGATAATTGCCAGGGCTTCGGTACTTATTCGCCTTTACATCTCCAGCCGCGTGTAATTGCGAGCGCGTGGGCTTTTATTTATTTGACCTGACACACTCACGCATGTTAAAATTGCTCACGAAAATGTTACTTTAAATTTAACAACTTTGAAACCACAGCAGCAGCTCACGCCAATCACACGCTAAACTTTCGCGCTTCTAAACTTCCTCTGCAGCATCTCAATTACGCGTCACTTAAAATTGCATAAAGTGAACAGTCATTTAATTTGAAAATGAATTTACACAACTTATACCAAAATTTACTCTTAATATAAGATTGAATAAAGTTAATAAATAATCCGAAAAAATGTTTACAACTCGATTGGATATTTTTGTAAGGCTTTCAATAGCACCTTGCACGTTCCGCACGAATTTGATATTTTTTTTCCAATCCATTGGGAAGCGCTGAAGATGATGTATGAACACTTTTCAGCAAAATTCACTACATTTACTCTTAATATAATATTCTATGGTTTCTATTAATCCAATAATTGATTTTAAGAGCGCGACAGGTTATTTTTTCATTACTTCTTATAATGCTGTGCACTTTCCGCACCACTTTTTACATTTCCAATCCTCCTTTTTGAAGCGCTGAAATAAATATAAAAGTCACCTTTGATGGAAATTTCCCATCCACCAGCATATTTTTTTTTTAAATTAAATAAAAAATGCAAATATAGAACTATAATCGCAATGCGGGAACTTTGCAGTATTATTGGAGAAGAATAACTTGAATTTATGCACGGCACGGTGAATGTGAGAAAATTAATCAGGTGGGTCGGCAATTTGATGGAGGATTAGTTCTGATTACATAATTCCACATAAGCAGCTTTTCTGCCAGAGCGCTAAGCAGGAAACCTTCACTGCGGGCTTAATATTGCACGCGGAGAATGATTGGCTCTCCACCTGCCCCCGGCTAAACGAATCCACGCTCCACACCTGCAGCATGCAACTTGTTTCAGCGCAATTTTCAAATTTTCAAGAAATTTAGGAAGGTTTTGTGAACTTCTATGTACTATTATTTCTTTTCATATGGAGGCCCCTTCTGGTCGTGGTGCAATATTGATAGCCCACTATAACAAATTTGGCTGATAAATCTCCAAAAGGAAAAAGCTGGCAACGCACAAAGAGGGGCAATAATTTAAAGTTTGGCCCAATTTTTCCCACAAGCTCCGCGGCACAATTTTTTGCGAGCGCGCGCGCCCTCGATAGAATAGAGCGGAAAAGGCTGGGGGGAAGAACGGGTCGACGCCGCTTTTCAGATTGTGAAAGTCGATGTCAGCAAGTGCTCGTCCTCTCTGCAGCCAGCTGTCATACAATGTGTCCGAAATTCAGCCTGCAGAACAAAAACAAGAAAGCGGCCCGACAAATGAGCGCGTCAAGCCAAGGAAATCCCCCTTACAAAGCAATTTTTGCAATTTTTCTCCTTCAGCTCGTCGCGTAAAACGTCACGTTATTAAGTTAATCTCGCACTCTGCTGTCCTGCCTGCGAATATGCTTTGCAATAACGACAACCTGATCTCTAATGGTCGGATACAGAGACAGCAATTCATTTGCGGTTTCTCGTTCTGATGAATGGTTTGAAAATTATTACAAGCTCGGACAAGTTTGAAACTGCGACTGCATTATTTTTAAATTTCTTCTCAAAAGATAAATGGAATAATTGATTAATTTTAATTAATGATGATTTTTAGATTATTAACTCTTCTACATTGGCGCAATTCAATAAACATACGAATTCCTTGGACATATTAAATTAAAACTTTTCCTATCTTCGGCTGTCACAGTGGATAACCACAAATTATATATTTAAATTTTGATTAATAAAACAAATTAAAAACAAAGTTGGTAAAAATATAGAGCAAGATAAAATATTTTATTACAAATATCTAAAATAAAAAAAATAAATTTATAATTTTTTTAAAGCTGTAATTATTGGTAAAACTTTTATAAAAAAAAAAATATGTACAATAAAAAAGAAAATTTCTTATAAACTATAAGGTTTTATAACAGATTATTGTCAAATAACTTTCTCGTATGTCTTATTTAAACTTTTTTGCCATTATATAATTGATATAATTACAATGATTCATGGTGTGGGGAAACGTTGCCTACAGTTTGAATCTACTAAACAACTTCTTGAAACTAAAATCCAGTATTACATTCTTCATTAGTCTAAATACACCATGTTGTAAATTAAATTCGTGAATTATTGTATTTATAGTTGAGCAGCACAGAAATAATTTTCATTGTGGTTTCAAAGTTAATCTCTAAAGCCACTCATCAAAATTAATTGCGCAATACGGAAGACGTGTCTTATCACTGCAGATAAATCAACCACGCTTAGGTGAAATCCACACCCATATTGCACGTTTCGAAATAAGACATATTTAAAATATAACATAAGAATGAATGGATTTTCGTTACGAGTCGCTTCTTTTGCCAAAATATAACAGGCGCTGCTTTATTTGGCTTGCATTTGCCTCCATAAGTGGAGCAACCAACTACTTTGGCAAAGCGTGGGCATATTTTCCGGAGTAAATATCTTCGGCTCCGCTGCAATTGGTTGCTGCTGAACAGTGCAAAGCTACTTTTCATGCACACACACAGCGGCGTCTAGACTGGCCGTAGTGTGTGTGTGTGACCTTTATAATGTAATGCCCACCCACAAGCAGCTAACACTGCACTTTGACCGACATTCTCTGACTCAACGAACATGCAGTTTGTTTTCCCACTATTATGTTTGTTCGTTAATTGTTAAAGTTTTGTGCCAAGATTAGAGAATAGTTGTAATCGCTTACAAAGTGCTCAACAGGCAAAATAGAGCACAGGACGGTCCGAACAATATAATATTCTACTATTTAAAAGATATTCTAAATTAATAAAAAGTGTAGTATGATTAAATGAATTTGTCCACCTTTAGTTGATTGATCCCTTGTCAACGGATAGAATTGTCAACTTCCCACCGATTCGAGCAAATGGGCGATTAGGAGGTCTCAAAATGCTACACAATGACCATTGCTGGACCAATTTGCATTTGCTCCCTATCGATCTCGCTCTTCATGATCCAACGGCATAATATTACGAGCTCAATTAATACTGAGCACATGCAGGGGCAGTTCTCTGAATGGCGACGCAAAACCACAAGCAAATATCAACGAAACCGCGGCCCAATGGTAAACCCTGTGCAATCGACTCTTCTCGTAGCGTCCGCTCAGGCTCAATTCAAACAAGCATTTATACTGCCTAGCATTGCGTTGCAATACAGCGATGCACACGATTCAACGCAACCAAGTAAAAATAAATTAGTAAAATCAAATCCCAGCAAAAAAAAAAATAACATTGAGCCACAGCATTATAAACAAATAAGAAAAATTGTATTAAAAATTAATATTTTGAATTAAAATTATAGAACATAAAACTTTATGCAAATACTTGATGAAGTGAATTTTGAAAAAGTTTTTTATTCACTACTAAAGTAGCATGGAGAGCTAAAAGGAATTTTTATATCACTGCATTTTTACAGACGCTGTTTAAGACAAAATAACTAGTTATACAAATTGAAAACCTTGTAAAGTTATAATAATTTAATTAAAAATAATATTCTAATTAAATGGTTGTGCTGTTTCTTATTAAACGCACTAGAATGAGAGCGGCTTGTTGAGCAGTGCCATTGGGGACTTGACGCTAGCTCGTTTCAATGGCGCGGTCCAATGATGCGCAGCAGATCATGTATGAATAAATTCAATATTCAGCTGCATCTCCTCTCACTAATAGTATATGTGTAACAATAACCAGTACACAAACACACAATCGAGAGAGCAGAAAATTCACCTATACACAAGAGCACGAGTGTTTACTGTTGTGCTCAGTAAGTGCATTTTGAACTTAAACAACAAAGATGCTAATATAAATTCAGTTTTTTTTTACACAAAAAAGTAATTTATATTATTATTTTATCAAATTAAACTTTGATAAAGTAATATTAAGTCTTAAAATGTTTGCTTTTATAGAATAAATAAGTACAAATTTAAATAAAAAAAGTTCATATTATGAACAACGTCTCTTTGGTTGCTCACATTTTTTATTATATTAAATTATTATTTTTTTTTTAATTCTGACAAACAAGGGAAATTTTTAAAAATTTTATTGATAGAATTTTTTGGTTCAATTATTATTTAGTGTTTAGAGTATTAATCTTATCATCTACATGCTCCTCTGCTAAAAGAGTAAATTTGTAGTAAATCTGAATTCATCGCTTGGAAATGCCACCATGAAATTTGATTTCGGTGTTGATCGAAGTGATTCGCGTTTGAAGCACAACGCCTTCAATCAGGTACATGGCGGAATAATTTGATCAGCATTCGCATGGAAACCGCAACCTAAGTTGAATTTGCGTAATGTGCGTGGATTGATCGAATTATTGTCTATCCAGAGGGGGAGACCCGTGCCCACATGCAAGGGCGCCAACTCATGTATGGTTATTAAGCACACGTATAAACAGCAGCGTCTCGGGATGATCTCGCGTGCATTTTCAGCCGGCTGAGACCACGCGCAAGGGTGGGTGGAATAAATTATTGCATTATCACGGCCGTAAAGTTGAGCCGAGGCGGGCAAATCAATTTCAGGCCCTGCGTATCAGTCTGGCTGCTGATGAGTGCGAGGATTATATTACCAGCCACCGACACACACGCCAGAGTTAAAAGAGATTCTCCGCCGACGAGCTTCGTCTCGTAGAATTAGAGGCGACTCTATTCCGATTAATCGCCCTCAAATCCACTCAGCACCACCCCATTTAACCCCACAGGCACTTGGATCTCCTCAGCCGTGCGCCCTGAAACCGAGGGCTTCAATTTTCAGCCAATTTTATCAAATTAAAAACAAATATTTTGATTTGATGAAGAAATTGGCACTCGACGAGATGATCATTGTATGAAGAAAACGGGCTTTGTCCGCTTTTATTAAGCAATTTTTTTTATTAAAAAAAATGACTATCAGTTTTGGTCACTGTCTGCGACCCTATTTCATGAGCAAGAAAAAATAAATAAAAATCAGGAAATTAAAAAAACAATTTAACAAAAAAAATCAAAATCTTAAAATTATATAAAATTGAAGTACCGATTTTACTATATCCTTGTTACAAGGATGAAATTTGACAATTTGACCCTCGAATTTATCCATCATTAAAATGAAATTTTCTTTTCCTCTGGGAATATTTATTTTGATATTTTTGTGTTCAGAAATATATCTCGTTATGATGTTCTCGAGTATAAATATTCGCAATTCTTTCTTTTTTAATGCTTACAACATCAGAACTTTCTCAAGAGGGGCTTCTTTTCACTACTTGGCCCTAATTAGCTGCTCCGAAATGGTTCATCTCTTGGCAAACGATTTTTATTCAGTGGGCCCAGCAGACTATACAGACATAGAGGCGCATTGTGGATGGGGAAAAGCGGGAGAATGAAAAAACCCGGGTTGGCACAAAACGCCAAGAGAGATAAAATGAGCGCGCCGTCAAAACGGAAAGGTGTGTAAGCCGTGAGATATTGAGCGTTGCGAACCGGCAAAGGCAGATTTTATTATTATATGCGAGTTTTGGCACGCGGCTTCAGAGAACATTAGAACGAGAATTTTCATTCCTAACTAAAAAAGCATGAAATTTTTTTAAATTTTTATTAACAATAATTATAAAATAGAAAATATTTAAAAACAAATACTAAGATCTCAACATTTTAATTAATTAAAAAATCTATATCAAATAATATTTATAAATTATGACTTTCAATTATTTTAAAAATTAATAATATAATTTGTATATCATTTAGTCATTTTTTTTATAAATTGATTCATTTTTTATTCTGTTTTTATTATATAAATTTTTCGGTATAATGCATTGTTAATTTAGTGAGCATTTATAGCTAATCACGTTGGGTCCAAATTGGATTTGGATTGCTTTAGTTGAACAGTATATTTCTCAATTAATTTTGAATTGATTTGTAAAGAATAAACCATAGTTAATAAAAATTTGCGGAAATAATCAGTTGAAAAAAAATTATGAACACGCACAAATTTGCTCATTAAAAAATAAAATCTGTCATTTAAAAAAAAAAAAAAACTTGTAGGCGTTATTTAATTACAAGTTAACATACACAATGCGGCGTCAGGTGAGACGAAGGGTTGGCGAGAGGGGAGCGCTCGAGCATCACTTGGATGCTCTCTCGCCTACTTTGTTCGCGTAAAGACCACTTAATTAGCTGCTCTCTGAGCTCCAAGTGATGATAAATAAATGAGCAGCACCTCCAGATAGCAAAGCTTTGCAGCCGCAAAGCAGCGGATAAGGCCGCGTTGAAACGCGCTCACGAATTTCAAAACTTTGCCTAACGTCAACTCGCCAAAATTTCGCACTCAACGAGCCGGAGCAGGAATTTCACTCTCACTTAAATTGTGCAGCAGCCACTTATATACACTCTGCGCGAGTTTTCCCCTTCTAATTGTTAAATAGCACCAGCCAAAAAATTCTTCAGCAAAATTGAATTTTTCTGTAGTAGAAATTCACAATCGAGGGTTTATTCATGGTGATTTGAGGTTTAATTTGGCTTTCCCTAAATAGGTTTTGTATGTTGTTTATTAATTGTTTAAGGAAAAACAATATCCTCCTCTACATGTTTTGGCTGCAGTCATAATTCATGAGCTGTGAAATCATTTTGACAAGAATTAGTACAAAAATCAACCTTTAAAAAGTATTTCCATCAAAATAATTATTTCACGAAAAATTGTAAATTCGATATTAAAATTTCTTTGTACTAATTCTTGTCAAAATAATTTTACAGCTCGTGAATTATGGCTGCAGCCTGCAGCAAAAGCATGCAGAGCAGGACATTGTTTTCTTAAAAAGTAAAAAAAAAATCCAAAAAAACCATCGAAGAATTAAAAGCCGAATTAAATTAAAAGCACTATATATTTATTTATTGTTTCTCTGGTTTGATTGTCCTTTCCAGGTCTTACATCGGAAGTCAATTAACCTCTTTCTTAAAGAATGGTTCACTTTGCTTTGTACACAAACAAATATTGAATTACCTCATATATGGTGCCGGCGGGAGCCAAGAAAATCCCACTCGCAAACGATATCGATTCTGCAAAACTCTTTTTGTGTTGTTCCGAGCTGACACAGAGAGCGCGGAAAAGACGGGAAAACGCCGCGAAAGGAAGGAATTGATTAATAATCGCGACTCTTGCTCGCTCGCTTGGAGAGAAAGAGAGGAAGGTGCTTTTTGATAGATCTCTCGGCGCGGCACAAAAGCGCGGGGCGTTGAGTGAAAATTCATTGTTATTTTTAATTGGATTCGAGCTTTTGTTGCTGAAAGAAAGAGAAAACCGACCTGCTTTTGAATCGGCGCGGTATATTTATGGCTTTTGGCCCTTTTATTTTTACAATGAAAAAGTAGTGCGTGTGTTTGAAGAGTGCATTGTGTCAGTGTCAAAAAGGGCGCGGAAAGTGGATTTCAGGCTTGAGCTATCAATTTTTTTCCTTCTTCTTTGATAAAATGAAGTTGGAAAAACGCAATATTGTATGACTCGCCGTCGGTCGGTACAGTATGACTGTCATGCTAATTCAGCCCTCGACCATCAATTAATTCGGAAAACGTGCGCCAGACACGCGCCACACCACACTGCACCGGCAGGTTATTAATCTTGCTATTCTCAACTTCCCACGGCACCACTTTTCTCTGCACCCATAAACAAATAATAAATTTGCGTGGACGGTGAGTTCGAAAAAAAAAATGCTTATTAGTGCATCTCATTAAAACGCAAATTAATCCTCTCAAGTGCGCAGGTAATTTTTGCTCCTCTCGTTGATTTGTTTGAAAATCAAGCTTAACTGCTTCATATTCAAGCTCCACATCAATGGGGTAAAAAAGTCATCAGGCTTTAGTAGCAGTCGAGAGAGAGAAGCTAATTTGCATCAAATGGCTGCATCGTTCAATGAGATGCAGCTTATAAGGGCTCTTAAAGGAAAAAGCTGAAAATAGCAAATTGATGCAGATTCTATTAAATTTATTCTATACGCACTTCACCAGAGTATGCTGCAGGTTTTTTTTTATATAGGAGATTCAATTCTATATAAAATAAAAGTAATTAGAACGGTATAATAGATATTATTATTTTTAAGTATCTTACATCAATCGATTGATATAGATCTGACAACATTAAAAAAACTACAAGGAAAAATTTAATTATTCAATTAAAATTAATTTTTTAATGATTTTAAATTATAAATTTAGGACGCAACGTTAGGAATTCAAGAATAAATTGGATTTTTTTAACAATATACATACATGATGTAAAAATTAGACAAATAGAAATCAATATTATTACATAATATATACTATTTTGTTATGCAATTTTGTTATTTCGTTGCTTATGAAACTGGCAGTTCATCCGCTTTTTTTTAAATAAAAAGCAATATTTAAATGACAGCCCTAATTTTTACCATTTTAATAAATATTGCTTAAATTTCTCTTTATGCATATTTATGATATTTATACTGGATAATTGTGATATGAAGGAAGAAAGAAATAAAAAAGGATACAAAAAATCAAGAAGTGTAGAGTGGCGAGTATGAGTCCCGGCCGGCGCACCCCCTGTCATGGCACTTGAAATCAGAAAGCCGAACCCAACCCTTTTATTCAAGAGGTTCGGAATGTCAAAATATTTTGAGATTTGAGATGAGTGCAGCTCTTGGGATATTTGACTGCTGGCGGAGGAAAAAAGCTCTGCCGAATCATTCTTGGTCGCATCCGCGGCGATGCTTTTATCAGCGAGAGGCGCATGAGCCGCCGCCGTTCCGCCCCGGCTGACGCCGCCAGCCTCCTCGCGTTGCGTCCCTTCAGTAGCCTACAACCCTCGGAAGAGACACGGCTTCCTCGCCTCTTCTCCTGTTCTCCACGATCACGCGTCTTGAAAAAACCTCGGCTTGCAAACGGAGTCATGTTGTCGCCGGTCGCCACGCAGGTGCTTCTCCTCGCCATAACAGGTAACAAACTTTTTGATAAAAACTTCTGACATTTTTACGTAAATGGCTGACATAATGAAAAATGTATTTTTTTATATTTTTTTTCAACTAAAATAATTATGTTAGCGTCATCAAATTACAGCATGCTTAAAATTTTCATATATTTAAAAAAATTTAAAATCAGACCCAAATAGAATTTTCTGCATATTTTATTGAAATCTAATAATAAATAGCAAATAAGTTTCAATTGCTATTTCTTAATTAAATTTTTCTTTTTGATTATTTTACCCTCTTGGGAAAGGCCCCAGCGGTAGCAGACAGACCTACTAATTCGCAAAAGGGCCGATAATTTGGACCCTCCCCTTTTGGTGACCTTGGAACCCACTGGGCCGGGGAGAAAAGATGGGTTTGGTTGTTAGGAATTCCAAGGATGAGGAAGATGAGCGAGAACAATGCCGGCATTCGCATGGAATGTCTGATAGAAACCGCAGAAAACAACAGACAGTGTAGCCGAAATTCCTGCAATTCCTTCCGAATCTGCCTGTCTGTTATTTTAGCGGCGTTTAAAAACTAATAATTTTTAAATTGTCAGCAGCCTTCAGTTGCGGATTAGTTTGAAAATTTAAATATTTTTTCTACTTTTAAATTAAAAAAATTTTTAATTTAATTTGAATAGAATTTTCATCGAACAATCGCTAATTTCTGGGGAGGGGGGAGTCTCTTTTGTATGCTGCCATTTGGTATGCAATTTATTTAAAACTCAAAGCAGTAAACGGAGAGTCTAACTAAGAATTGGAAAATGCCGAAGGAATAAATTGAACGCGTCGGTCTGCAATTGCAAATCAAGGTTTAAAGTTTATCTCGCCGACACACCACTTGAAACCGCAAAATGCTCCAATGAAACGTGGCTAAACCCATTATTCTTGAGAGTTGCAATTTAAGCAGCATTGACTTTCTGCCACTTGAATCTCAGTGAATACGAGACAACATTTCACGCTTACCTTAGTTTATCCGTGGTCGAGAAACAGAGGCAGACGAACACACTTTACCATGCGCCGGTGTAATTCCATAATCGCTTCACCGTGTTTGTGTAATTTAATAATCAATTAATATTGTGTACGCGTCACATTTGAGCTGAGGAGCTCCACTTTTGCGGCAGAACGTGGGTTTCAAATTTTGAAGTTGATTAATTTAAATTATTCTAAACATGCACCATCCTCAGCCTAAATATTTATAGGTTTAATCCATAACCATGCACAATTAAACTAAAATATATTTATTTTATAATTTTTTATTTATTTAATATATATTTTGATGATGAATTTGCCTTTTTAATTAAATATAACAACTTATCAACTTATTATGACCAAAAAAATTAGGATGATCATCTCCGGTTAGGCGGTTAGGCATATTATACTGATAAAATGTGACAGTAAACTTGTATCTGCATAGTTATTTTTATTTTAATTCATATAATATATTTATCTCAATATATTTGTAAGTTAAAATTGTAAACAATATTTGAAATATTTTTTTTAATTGCATAATTATTCAGTTATTCAATTTACTTACTTTAATTTTACTTTTTTTTTACTTTTTTATCTCTTATCCACTCTTATTATGTCTGTTTAACATTTAAAAATATCTCCAGAATAATTTTCCTTGAAAAACTGAGAAGCGTGTTAGTTTGAATCCACCCTGAATAGCAAAAGAAAACTCCAAGATGCGCAGCAATCGAATCATTTAAAAGGCAAACTTATGAATTGTGCAGAAGTCTCCAGTGGAGATGGATGTGTCTGAGTGAGTCGTTCGTTTTTTGCCTGCGGGAGTTGGCTGGAAAGGAGATAGTCAGTCTCCCTTGGAGCCGATAAAATTCTTTCGAGAAGCTCGTGCACTTGCAGAACACTTTCGGTGCAAACTTGGTCGGGCTAAGGAGCGAAAAGGCGTAAAAAGTAAACGGCGGGACTCAAATTCCCTCACCTTGGGTGTTTTATTCAAAAAAGTCGGGCGCCTCACGTGCGTATTTGTTTGTAGTGCATGTGTTGAGGGAATGGCGAACTTTTGAATTGAGAGAGCGAGAGCGGCAATTTATTTTTTTCTTACACTCCGCTTTTTAAATATTGATCTGCGAAGCTTCTAAATTTTTATGGTAAGCACGTTGTGCGCGCAACGGTGAGGAATAAAAACGAGGCAGGAGAATTTTGGCAAAGATAAAACAATAATAAATGATATTTGCGCCGCGACGCGCGAGCGAAACTAAAAATACACCTAGCCGAGATAAAATTATTCCTGCGAGCAAATTTGCATACGATCGGAGTTGTTTGTTGGCAAACTCGTGCCGACGGACGTGATACTTTATTTTGCCACCGCCAACTAGCAAACAAACAAATTTTTGGGCACAAAAGTTTTGCCAAAGCAGAGGAATTTGCAACTCTTGAAAACGAGCAGCTCTAGATACCGATAAGACATCTTACAAATATTTTTATTCTCAAAACTTTACAATGAAAGAAAAAGAAAAAATGTCCTTGCTCTCTTTTGTATTAATTTCCAGCTTCTTTATAACCAGCCATTGCAGGAATATAAAATTAGCTCAAAGTTTTCCACCTCGACTGACATTGAATAATGTCACCAATAATTTGAGCGCACCTGTTCCATTCTTTTAAGAGGTAAAAAAATCGTTCAGCATTTCCAACGCGTTTGACAAGCATTTTAATGAAAACGAGCGTGATGTGCTTGATTGACGAGTAGGTTTTTTATGTGATAATTTTCATTTTCCGTCCATTGAAAAAACCAACTCTTCTCGAATTAAATTTTCCATACAAAAATCGATGCATAAAAAAATTGATCTCTTAAGTCAAATTTAAATTTAATTCAATATACAAGATATTCCGCACCTTTATAATTGGAAATCAGAGACGAATTGAGTCTCATTTTGCATTAACGGATGCATCAGCAGCGCACCAAAGCCAGCAGAACTAATTATAACAACGAGATGATCGATCTGAAGAGCAATTGGCTTGCCACAGGATATATTCGAGACACACATGCACGTGAGGTTGCACACATAATAACTCTGTTTTGATAGAGCGGCCCCAGCTGAGGGAGCTGAGCTTCTTGCCCTTGGTGTAAGCTGATTAAGTGAGCGCTGCATTATTATTATTATTGTTGAGCCGCCGGCCCGGCGTCAAGTGCCGGAGCAACTCAAACCAGACAGTGACTGCATAATCATCATCCAAATTGTGCATATGTATCAACGTGCGATGCACAGATGTTCTGGAGCATCAATAGATTGTGTGTCGGCAACTGTGTAGTTTGTTGTTTCGGAGCGAGCAAATTTGATTATCCTAACAACAAATTGCTCTGATCCATACAATGCACAAAAGCGTCCGGTATGTTATGCGGAAACCTTGCTGAGAAGTTGAAATTTTATAATGTTACTAATAAGTCAAATATATAAGAAAGACAAAAGTGATTTTATAACAATCAATGTTCATGAAATCAGTTATTCAATTAAAATTCTTTAAAGATTCGGTACACAAGATGAATCGATTGATTTTCAATAAAACTGCCTTCTTGTTGTGATTAAAAATAAAATTCTCTTTTTAATAAAATACATTTTCTCTGATACATCAAATTTAATTATTTGTAAATTTTTCATACCTTTTATATAAAAATTTAATGCAGCCTTCTTTCAATTATTATTAAAGGTTAAAAAAAATTCCAATTTTACAATAATCTGTCAATCAGTGTTTTATTAATTGATACAAAATTAATTGCATTGTTAGCTCAGAAAATTGAAATGCATAATTTAGCTCTGATTTAGCTCATAATAAAATTGCATTATTAAATGTATGCACGCATTTTATACATAATATTTTTAAATGTTTACTTTTATACTGGCAAAATTTCTGTCAATTTGTCATAAATATCATGATTTTATCATAATATAGTTGCTTTTCTTTCATCTCTAGTAGATAAACCAAAAATATTCTAAATATTCACTTAATACAAATAAATATTTTATTTCATACAATAGTCACAAACAGTGCAGAATTCATTAAATAAAAATTCTTTTTCTTATCTTCAAATTATATAAATTTGAGCCTAAATTATATGCTTAATTTAAATTAAAACAAGGTGAGAAAAGGACTTTTTACTCCAACTCCGCCAACTCCGAATAGCTTTCATTTGTGATAGAGACATTTCATTGAAAAACAAAATAATGAAAGAAGCCGGTGTGGCATTTTGATGTGTCCATTTGAGTCTGGCATCAGGAAAAGCAGACAAATCATTGCGCGTCAAAATCAGCTGCCGCGCTCTAAATTCGATAGCGGCCGCACGCGCAGCATTTTAATATCCTTTGTCGCGGGGCGAATGAATAAAACTCATCGAACATAAAAGTGACAGAGCTTTTACGAGGGAAATGCTTTACTGTACGGCGCGCGAACCTGCGACTATGCGCGGACATTAATATTGAAAATTGCGCCGCGTCCATAAATATGAAGAGAATAATATAGTGTGTGCGTGCGTTATTTTGAAAACACTATGTATGATATAGCAAAAGCACCCTCTCTGCGCCTTTATCGCGCACAGAGACGAGAGGGAATAATTTGCGTCGCGCACTTAACGTACGCCCGAAGAGTATTAAAAAGGCACAAATAATTCTCTCGCGTGAGGATCTCGTTTGGTCGGGCGCGGCGAAAAATTGTCACGATAAATTCCTGCAGACTGACGGCCGCGCCGTTTTGCTCACAAAAGGCCTCTAATTCTCTTTCTTGTCTGCCACTCATTTGCATAATTTTACACAGAGAAACATGCCACGAGTCTAGACGCGCGCGCGCGCTTGATTATCACATGATTAAATATGTGTGCGCGTGCGAGATTTCCACCTTGACCTTCGCCACTGTTATCAGGCCAGAGGAATTGAAGATCATTTGCTTTTCAACCGTAAAAATCACGAATTTGGATTTTCGGGAGGGTCTTGAAATCACTGACAATGAAATGAGCGCAACAATTTTTTT